GAATTTGATCGAATCAAATCAAAGATTAATTCATATTTGATCAAATAATTTTTTCTTTAATTTGAATTTGATCGAATTGAATCAATTATTAATTTGAATTTGTATTTGATTTGATTTTTAAATTGAATATTCAAATATTAAATCGAATTGCAGAACCCTAATATTTATGAACAAATAATTGATAAAGAAAATTAGATAAGAAGTAGATACTGGTATGACAATTTTTAACAAATTTTAGAGAATTTAAATTTGTTGAGTAATGGTATAGAATATTTACAATGACAAACTTTTTTCTTTATATCCTAATATTATTAAACTAATTAATATCATTTTAATAATTTCTCTTTCTAATGCTTCAGTTGAAAGAGTCTATTTACGTCAAAATTTAATTAAAATAAGTTGCAAAATAAAATGAAATTAGAAACACTTAATTTTCATCTAAATATTTCGTTTAATAGGCTATCATTATGTTCATTTGATTTTGAAGCAACATATAATCATTAATCACAATTACCACATAATATAAATTAGAATTTTTTTCTATCTTTAATGTAAATAATTTTTTTCATATTATTGATAAAGATATTGGTTTAAATTTTATTATATTATTTGCACAAATTGGTTTAAATTTCTACAACTTTCATATGATTTTTATTTGAGTATTATGTATCAAAGTTTTGGCTAAGATTTTATTCACTGATTCTAAGTATTAAGTAATTAATTGAGTTTTAATAATTAAGGTATTTGAAGTATCTTATAATTTTATAAAATTTTATAATTAATAAAAATCAATATTTGTAATTCTGATTAATATATTAATTTTAATAAAAATAAAAAAAATTTAAAAAAAATTTTTTTATAAATAAGTAAAAAAAAGCTTTTATAAATTTAATTGTAAATTTATTGAAGTAAAATAAAATTTTATATTATTAGATTTTATAATAAAATATTTAATAAATATAAAATTTTGATTATAATATCAGAAATTAACTAGAATAAAAAAACTTTTTTGTAGATTTATATCAGCATTTTATCTAAGATTCTTCCTATATATATTAGTAACTTTTGTTATAAATACAAACCTTTAAGATCTTTTCCAGTTTGATCAATGTATTATTAGTATTAATTAAAAGTAATTGACCTTTACCAAATACAAAAAACATTGCTTTATGATTTTTTTTTTATACTTTTGTTTTAAATAAACTTGTAGTTTCTCTCTTTTGTATTCAGATTATTCAGTAAACTTAAAATACAGATGTAATTTGCTAAAATCAAGAAGAATTATTCTAGGAATATAACATAACATAGTAGTATTTCATAAAATTTTAATTATCTTATTAATACTTAGATGTTAATAATTAACAATCTATTTTTGACAAATCCAAACTTTTTAAAAATTTCAAAAATCAAATTAATTTATTAATTTAACTATGTAGCAATTTTGGTGATTGATTTTATTGACACTCCAGTTTGAATTATCCTTATGGGACAATGCTACATGTTATTTTTTCTAAAAAGACTGTATAAGCTACCTCTAGTTTTAAGACGCATTGTATATGGTTGAGAATTATTTACTTGCGACATATCGAAAAGATGTCTCATAGTTGGTCGGCCATGAGGGCAATTCTATGGAGCATGTAAAATAAATTGGATATTTCTAATTATTACATTAAAAATAAAAAAATAAAAATAAAAATCTCACCCATGGTTGATCAATATCTCCCATACGCTTTACAATCTATTAAAAATAAAAATAATTAATTACAATATTAACACTATTTTTGCATATGCAACCACAAAAAAAAAAAAAAAAAAAATAATTGCAATACAAGACCTTTTGCATTTGTTGACGGTTTAATGCATCTCCAATCATTACAGATTTGCGGCAAGCTCTAGATGCAAACATATTTCTGACGTGAGAACTACGCACCATTTCGCCCGGTCGTTCAGACAATAGAAATATTAATTCTTCTAAATCTTTTTTATTAATTCCAATGAGAATTAATATATTCTTGAAGATAAAAAAATAAATACGTATAAAACTACCTTTAACTCCAAATACTGTATTTTTGCTCATTGGCTGTGACAACAATTTCAATTTATTAGTAGGAGATGCATCATAATCTATGTCAAAATCAAATCCATTCGCTTGTAAGATTTCCAAGTTTTCAATTGCAACCAATTCCTCAGCCACAGTAAGTTCTAACCTCCTTGGACTAAAGGTAATGTAATATATACTATTTTAATTAAACTTATATAGTCGGAAAAAAAATTTAAAATAAAATAAACCTTATAAGCCTCTGAGATTGAATTTTAGTGTGAAGTTGTAAAGTTTCGAAATTATATTTCTCATCAGACGCATGCTGGTCAATAATAAATAAATCATTGCTCAATTTAGCGATAATAAATCCAAGATTGAATTGTCCTACAATTTCCATTAGGCCAAAATCTTTTTTCGATATAACCTTATTTAATTCTCTTGCAGCAACTTCATTATCTTGAATGTCGATCCCCGAATTGCTTAATCGCATATCACAATCGTTAATCTTTTGCAAATCTCGCCGATTAATATCAATATATTCATATCTTCGAATATCAAATGGTATCTCGATATCTTTTCTCTCGTAACCATTTTCTATTACAATAGCTTCCGAGTTATTTGATACGGAGCTCGAAACAAAATTATCATCTTCAGCCATTATAATATCTTCATCAAGACCATCCTTTTCAGTCATTAAAACCTCATTAGTCGAATGGTCGACAATCATTTTCATTTGCTTCTCTTGTTCGATATCGACTTTATTTTCGTTGAGAGGATTTCTAAGACATTGTTCTTCACATGATATAGGAGTAGGAATTTTCAAAGATACTTTCTGATCTTTAAATAAATAGGTGTCAATTGGTTTAATAATGTCTTTCGTGACGTTACTTTTTTCCTTCGCATTTGAAGATAAATATTGAGATAATTTATTTCGCGGAGAACCAGCGATTACTGATTTTTCCATGGTAATCTTTGGTTTTTTCATCACGTGTACTTCGTCCTCTTCTGATTGAATATTTATTGGCGCGTAACTCTCGTACTCGACATCAGCTTTTATTTTCATCGTCTCTTCAATATTAGACGATGAGCATATTGAGTTTATCGAGTTTTTTGTCGAATCAAATTCGTTTTTAGTGTTCTCATTACTCTGAATGTTATCATTGTCTTGCATAAAGAAAGTTCCACTTTTATTTTGAGCAAGTTTGTTTTGTGAAGAATTTTCCACTTTTGAATTCTCAAAACATAAAACATTTTCTTTTATTGACAGTTGAATTAATTCAGTACTGGAATTCACGAAAGTAGATCGAAATGGTTCAAGAACACTATTCAATTCTTCCTAAAAAGAAACCATTTAGTTATATAAAACATTTTATTTGAGTTAAATTATATATGCTTACCTTTAATGTTCCCACTATGTTGTTTTCGTTGTGAATGAAAATTGTCCTTTTATCCGGGCTTACGTTAACGTCGTATAAAGCTTGGATATATTATCAATTATGTCAGCTATTTTTTTGTAATGAAAATTTCTAAATAATATGTTCTTGAAGATACTTTACTAACATTTCGCAAGTCGAAAATCCATAACAATAAATGGGTATTGATAGGTATTAAAACTTTTATATATCTCGTTAATGGCTTTTGCAATCTATTAAGAAATTTTAACTATTTAATATGACAAAAAAAAATGATTATAATCAAGGTAATAAAAGTATCTTTACTTTTGGTAAATTGCATGGACGACCGTTAATGAAAAAATATTGTCGATCATTGCTTCCACGACCGTGTCCTTTCATAGGTTTAGAAATATGACCAATCATATGGATAGTATATCCTTCGCTTCATTATCAATATAATTATTATATCCTTAAATTAATCATCTATTCATGATTACACATGAAATTTGTTGATTATTCACCTTTCATTATCATCGTCATCATCATCATGCTTTTGCAATGTTCTCCTATCATGTTTGACATTCAGATTTATGTCCAATGGTATTATATGAGTTAATGTCTTGGCTCCGAATATATTCGCAATATTATCTCGTACATTACTGTTCCCACTAGTGGCCAATACTTTAGCTTTTGCGCTAATATTATAACAATAATGCAATTTTGTGTTGAAAAGATAACTTATAGATAACATTATGTAATTTCTTATTATTATTATTATTTTGTTATTTACCTGTTATTTAATTGATTTGTACAAATAATCCTAACATTCTCGCAAATGATCCCATAAGCTTGCAAGAGCACTAGCGCTTTGCCAAATTCTCGTTTAATATTCTTTTTAAATTCTCGATGTCGAACTGGGACTGATTCAAAAAGTCCTCGTAGGATTATGGATGTACCTCTCTTTTTAACAAACATAATATTGAGCATCAAATAAAGAAAATAAGTAAGTTGACACATTTTTAAGTACCTCTCGAGCCGTTGGTGATTTTTTTATGAGCCTTCCATGTGAATCATATTCCAATTTGACACCTGTCGGGGTTTCTTCTTGAGTACACGTTGAAACTGTAATTCTAGATAGGGCGCATAATGAACTAAGTGCTTCACCTCGAAAACCAAATGAATTAATGTTCATTAAGTCTTCGAAACTAGATAATTTAGACGTATGATGCTTGAGAGCTATAAAAATAGTTAATTTATTGTAAGGCTTAATTAATCACAACATATTTTTAAAACTAAAATAAAAAAATCAAATACCTAAACTCTCATAGTCGATAGGATGAATTCCCGTGCCATCATCTATTATCTCAACGGATTGGATGCCATATTCTTTAAATCGAATTTCTACTTGTACATATACATTTGAATAAACGCGTTATTATTTAAAAAAATCTATTGCAATTATTTACGCGTTTTTTTTTTAATATTTCCATTATTCATACCAATTGACTTTGCCTGTGCATCAAGACTGTTTTCTACAAGCTCTTTTACGGCTGTCGCTAAGTCTAATATTACTTGACCTGAGCAAATTCTATGTATCGAAGAAATATCAATTGCTTTAACCGTCGACATATTTAAAAGCACGGAATGATCAACACGAAGATCTCATTTGCCATTTTTATGCTTACCATAAGCATAATGGACATTTAACTTTCGAGCGATTTTATTGGTTGAAATTTGTGATAATCATTTTTGAAATATCACA